GTTGTTGAGGAAAAGAATCGTTTTAAAAAAAAAGAGACTTCAGTAATTTGGATTAAAACTTACAAAATAAATTAATTTAATACTATTATCTACTTGGAAAAAAATTTCTATTTCATAACAATATATATTAAGCACACAAAATACCTGCCGAATACCCATTTTGCCCCTCAATGTGCCTAACAATCGTCTTGCACTTTATCGATTGGGCCACGGGGATTACAGCAATGTAATCTTGTCTGCTTTGGCATCTAGCTAACGCTTGTGAGCGCCAGTTCATCTGGTAGCTCGGCAAGAAGAGGCACGCACATCAGCCAACGCTGATGAGCGCCAGTTCATCTGGTAGCTCGGTCAGAATAGGCTTCCTTAACACTAATTCGGTAAGGGTTTTGCTGCTTAACTTGACATTGTATTCAAAAAAAAAAACAAGAAGTATTAAATTAAATGTCTAGAAATTATTTACATATACTAATCACTGAAGTCTTTGAAAATAAATTTAAAAAAAAACTCAGCATTTCTAATTTTTCCAAATTTCGTTCTAATAATACTCCCACCTAACCTATAATTTCCAATAATGACACTGTATTTTATTGAATTTAATTTGTTGTTTTTTAATTGTGGACGCGTATTAATTTACGTATTAAATAAATAAATAAATATACCTTGAAATCTTTGGATTTTATGATTTTATTTAACTTTACCCACTCTACGATTTTAAGGATTTAAAGTCTAATTTACTCCCCCGCCCCCTTCCATATCAAATGTGAATTACAGTCAAAGCTCGATACTAGAAAGGTCCAAAACTTTTAGTTTTCGATTTCGGTCTCTCGGTCAAGTCTTAAAGTGTTCACATGTATAAATCTTGTGTAGTAGACATTTTTATATCTATATTCGGTATAATAATTCACAAGAAAATAAGACTTTTTGAGTTATTAGAAAATTTATCCTTAGTAGAGTAAAGGTCAAAAACTTTCGGCGACAAAAAGGGGGAATTTTTTGAATCCTGAATTCTCTGAATTCGATATCTATAGGATATCTGAGATATTCCTCTCCTAGAGGGAGGCTGTTTTTCTCTTTCTCCTGATGGAGATGGATATTTTTAGGGCAGTTATGGCTAAAGAATACCGGTACTTAACTTATACACTATGTCGTTATTTTAGTACCTATTTATGCCGTATACTATCTGGATTTTCTAAGAGCTTTGACTTTTAAATTTTAACTTTGAAAACATTGAAAACACTTCATATGTACATATTCATTTAAAAAGTGCTCTTTAATTTTTGAAAGTCATTTTAAGTTAAATTTTAAATTTTTTTTTCGATTTGTAAAACTTTTTTGAGAAAAAACTTCATCTATGTAAATATGTATGTATATAAATATAGTTAAAACTAGAGCCCGGACGATACCGTACTACCAACGGTATTTTCCGGTATATCCGGTATTCCGTATCGTTAGACAGTACGGCTGATATATATAATACCGACTGATAAAATTTTGAGGTTGATAGGTATTTATCGGTATCGGTATTTTTCAGCATTTTTCAGTATAGAATGGTACAAATTTGGTACAAAATTCCGGGATCTAGTTAAAGCTTATTTACACTGTATAACTCAAGTATGTAAAATTTGCAGAAAATTATTTGCTTTGATTATTTAAAGTGTTCACATGTATAAATCTTGCGTAGTAAACATTTTTACATTCTGATCTATATTAGGTATAATAATTTACAAGAAAATAAGAATGAAATTATTGGGAAAAGCAAAAGTAGCGAGACAAAATAACTAAATAATTTGCCAAACAAAGTCTAAAATGATGGAACTGAGGAATTTTCGATTAATCCGAAACAACGAATCTTTTTTTAACGACAACCAACTTTTAAAAACAATTAATTTTCGCATTTACTAAAAAAATATTTTTTCACTTATAAAAGCGATTTGTGCAAATCAAATAGCAATTAACCGATCACCTACATTTTTTCTTGTTCCGTCGCTGCCCTTTTCTCTCTTTCCCCATTTTCGTAAAAAGTGCAAACAATAAAAAGAAAGGTAATAATGGAATGAAAAAAAAGTAATTTTAAAAAAAAGTAAATTTGCGCACATTCCTTTCCTTTTTTCATTCGTGGAAATTTTTTGATTAAATAATTATTTAAATGATTTGGAAGGAAAAAATATTTTTAAAAAAATATTTAATTATTATACATAAGTGAAGTTGTGTAAAGAGTTTATTGTAAATTATTACCTAATAAAGGGAATTAAAAGGGAAAAAGAAGTCCTCACAAAAATTAAATATTTATTTATTACAAAACTAGTTTCTTCAATACACGCGAGTGATTAATAAATGGAACGGTACTTATGAAGATGGAGGTGCCCTTTCTGCGGACTTTTTTTGCGGACTTTTCTTCCTTTCTTTTTAAATGTTTTGGTTGTTTTGCTTTCAGCAAGTTTTGCTCGTAGCAATTAACTGTCAAAGGATCATTTTTTATGCCAATTTGAAAAATATGTGTTCACGATTAATTTGAATATATAAACGTAAAAAATGTTACAATCAATTAAAAATTTTACTTTAACTAAATTTTCAATTACCCGATGATGAATTTCGACAATGGATCACTGATCTCGGAATACTTCATAGAAAAAGAATATGTTATTGTGGAACAGAAATGCGGGTAATTTCAAACCTTGTCCCCCCCCCCCCCCCCACCCCATTATTTTTATTACCTAAGATTGTACAAAATGGTCAGATTTCCTTCTTTCCTCTATTTGAGCTTGGGGCCTAAGTACACTTTACCGGGCGATTTTAGAATTGAACAAATTATATGTCATTCGAAAGAGCTCGGCGAGCTGAGTCGAATGACACCAAAATTAGCCCGCGGAAACAACTTTGGGCCGAGATATGGGGCTCGAAATGGTCAAAAACCATAGGGGGGAGTAAGCTCAATTTTGGGGTGAAAAATTCGATTTTACAAATGATAGCTCATTCAAAAGGGCTCGTCAAGCTGAGTTGAATGACACCAAAATCAGCTCGATTGGATGATTATGAACAAAGTTATGACCAACTGAATCTTCGCTGGAAAAACTGTTTTTGTGCTGCTACGGAGGGTAGGCCGGGCATGGTCTTCGCTACACGATGGCCGTGCTTCGCTGCGGTCGTGCTCGCTACGCTCGCGGCGACCGTAGCGAAGCGGCGGCCGTCGTTCCGCTCGACATGCCCGGCTTCCTCCGCAGCGGCAAAAACTTTTTTCCGCGTAGACCCCTATGTAGGGGATAAAAACAAACGGTCATAACTTTGTCAAATCAAGTCAGATTTTGTTGATTTTGGTGTCATTCGACTCAGACCGATGAGCTCTTTCGAATGAGCTATTATTGGCATATTCGAATTTTTCATTCCCAAAAAACAGCTTACTCCCCCCTATGGTTTTTCGAATTTCAGGGACCTGTAACTCGGCTCGTAGTTGAGTCCGCGGACTAATTTTAGTGTCATTCGACTCAGCTTGATGAGCTCTTTCGATTGACATATAAATCATAAAAATCTAAAATCGCCCGGTAAAGTGTACTTTAGCCGAGCTTGGCATATTCAAATAAGAGATATTGTTGATAAAGAGAAGATTAAAATTAATTGAGTTGTTCAATATTTTTAATTGAGTTGTTCAATACTGAGTTCAATTTATTTTTTCAGTTGTTCAATATTTTTAAATAGAAGAATGTAACGTTTTTACATAGAAATTCATAATGTTATACACTAAATCAATTTTATTTAATTATTTTTTTGTTTAAATTGTTTTCGAAGGCAAAAAATAAGTGTATGACTATAAAATTAATCTTCTCTTTATCAATGTCACTTGTTTGAATATGCCACAGAGCAAATAGAGGAAGGAGAGGAAGAAGAAAATCTGACCTTTATGTACAATCTTAGGTAAGAAAAATAATAGGGGGGAGGACCTTTGACAGTTAGTTGCTACAAGTAAAACATTTAAAAGAAAGGAAAAGTCCGCAAAAAAAGTCCGCAGAAAAAGCACCCTTTTCTTCAGTAGTGCCAATGGAACTTATTAAACTGACAGAAAATAGTTTAAAAGAAAATTACCAGACATAAAAAGGAGGGAAAGGCAAAACAAAAGGTCCCTAACAAAGCTGGCCGCAACTGCAAATTACGGCTTGTTCCAACAAAGTTTAATGTAAAAGTGATTGGAATTTTATTAATTTTAATTAGTTCTTTTTGGCTTTGACTTTGAAAAAAAGAGGAGAGAAATGAATTGGGAATTTTTATCAATTTCTCTACACGTAACAAAATAATGAGTCAGAAATACATAAAAATTAAAACCCCCTTAATATTTAACTAGCTATAAATTAAACGATTTATAACCCTACAAAAACATATTTTTCCTAAAAATATTAAAAATGCGCAGGAAAGCAAATATTTATTTATATTTTAAAGCTAACATAAACATTAAATATCTAGGTGTATTATTTATGCAAATAATTGTAAAGAGAGATCTATCTAAAGCTAACACAAAAGCAAAAATCGATCAACAAATTTTTGTAAATTTATATTAAAAATTATTTTTAAAAATTATAAAAAAAAATATACAAAAATTTTGAATTTAATTACAAAATAAAATTAGAGATTGAACATAAATTGCATTCAAAAATTACTTAAAAACGGCGGAACTCTTATATCTGAAGCTTAAAATACCTAACCCCCAAAATCGATTGAAATTAGGTATTAGAAATCATATCAAAAATGGAAACGTAGAAAAGATTTTCAAAATAACATTCCCAAATGAGGAAAGCCTCTCCGTTTGTAGGATTTATAAATAAAATTCAAAACGGCGAAATATTTTCCCTAAATTCCCTTTTCCTACAAAATTGAAAAAAAACTTTTTTGTAAATTTCAATCTCTAAAATATTTACTTACAAAATTTATATTAATTTTTTTTAAATTCTTCTATAAAATTACCCGTTCACATTCAAATTTTTTTCGACAATTTTGCTGGTTTTTCTTCTTCATTAAGGCGCAAGTCTCGACATTTTCCATTTATTAAATTCTTTAGCACAATTCTGAGTATTTTCATTATTTATTTTCATCAATTCATAAACTATACGGTCATGAACTCTATTCCCCTGACCTTGCCAAAATTCAAAATAATTTGGTTTAAGTGAATAACCAAGCCTTAAAAATTAATTTTTTTAATTTTTAAAATTAAATTTACCAATCTGTCGGTCTTGTTATAGCCCCCTCTCCTTCTTTTTTTAAAAGTAATTCTAATTTGTATTGTTTTTCCTCCAAATACTTAAAAAATATTTTAGAAAAAAATATTTAACATATTTTAGGTAATTTTGAATTTAGTTTTTTTGGGAAGTACTTTATTGAAGTTTGGAATGAATTATAAAAAATAATATAGAAATTAGTTCCGAGTTTAGGATATAAGATGAGAAATTGTATTTGTTGGAGTGGAATATGGCTTAAATAAAATTTGACATATATCAGAATTTTTAGAAAAATCATTATTTCCCTCAAAAATTATAAGTAAAAGTTACAGGAGCTGTAAATCAGGAGCTGTAAATGTTTACAGGAGCTGTAAATCAAAACTAAAGATGGAAACTTGACCATTCCGAGGCAGGAAAGAATAAAAGAAAAATTAATCTGATTGTGAGACTCAAATAGGGGTGGGGGTGGTTTAGGAACAAAGTACCCTTTTTTTCTTCCCATTAAGAAAATTTTAAATAAAACCTCTCTGTTGGGAATAGTACAACTTTGTTCACTCAATTTAGAACCTATTCTAGAACCAATAGGTCTCTGTATCCAATATTCATCAGCAATTTTAGAATCCAAAATATTCACAATTCCTTCAATTCGAATCTAAATTTAAAAAACACAAAAATTAATTTAAAATTCCAAAAAAGAAAACCTGTCTGTCAACTTTTGGCCAATAAAAAAGCATTGAAGCATTTTTATTTAATGCTAATTCACAACCTTTTTTACTCAAAGAATGTGTAAAAAATACAAAACCTTCATCAGCATTGTATCCCTTTAAAAGTAACATTCTACAACTTGGTTTACAATCAGAGCTAAAAAAAAAAAAGAAAAGTTAAATTAATTAAAAAGCAAAATTAAAGAAAGAAATAGGTCTCTTGTTTTTCAAAGTCAGACCTCGTATACGCCCTTGGAACTGAAAAAATTGTGCCAATTGTAAGGTAAGATAGAGTGTTTGACACTTACTAAGTATCTACTTCCTTTATGGCAAAACAAAATTTTAAATTTAGAAAATCATTTTAAAGGGAATAAAGGTGAGTTTAAGTTTATTTCTTTAATTAATTTTAAAATATTTTTTATTTTTTATAAAAAAATAACCTAACAGTAGAGAGAGCAAAAGCATTAACCTCATTATGAGTCAAATCTTCAATTTCACAAATATTTCTGAACCAATCATCGAATTGATCAAATGGACATTTTTTCATATTAGATTCAAGTAGAAAAGGTTCATCAATTTTCTTTTCATAACATTTTCGAAGAGCTTAAAAAGTATAAAATTTAGAAGAAAAGAATTTAGAGGGAAATTCTAAAAACCAAAAGACCCAGATTTGTTATAAATATTTTTCAAATTTTTATTTAAATAACTCACATTTTGTATTTAAAATAATTTTTTGTTTTGAATCAGAATTATCAAAACTTCTTTTAAATCTTCCATCCATTTGTAAATAATCTTCTTCATTTAATGAACGTTGTTTCACAATTTTATTGATTTTTGAAACTGTTCCCATATATTGATTGTTTATTTGAATTTTATTAAAAATGAAAGGAGTAAATAAAATCTTTGCATTTGGATAAGACATTCTCCTTTACTTTTCTTTTTTGTTGTAAAAATTAAAAAAGGCCACTTGAAGTTATGGGAAAAAAAGGAAATTATTTAATAATTTATTTTCTTTTCTTTTTATTTGTAAAAAAGATGACTGAAATTGAAGTGTGTGTGTATTTGTGTGTGACAAGAAAACTAGAAGAAAAAATGATAAATTTAAAAGGATTAAATATATTTAATGTTTGTGCAGACATTTTGTGGCCTAGAGAATGATGTAACCCATGACGTTATAAAATATATGTAGTTAAAAAGTTCAAAAAAAATAGGTAAGTAGATTGAAACTAACATAGGTATTTTTAGCAATAGCAAAAAGGGGCAAAAAAATTTATAAATTAGAAATTTTTTTTAAATTATATATAAGCTAATGATTTTTTTTTCCACTAGAAAGTCGAATAAATTTCTGGATCAAAAATAAAATTAAATGAATTGAGTTTAAAATCAAATTTGACATTTTGAATCAAAAAGAAAATCAGAAAAAGTCACGATCAGTTGATACAGTCGTCCTGAATTGTAAAAAGAATAAAATTAATCAAGTATTTAATAATTGATTTCAAATTTTAATGACTAAAACCATTTTTTAGTTTACTTGACTAAAACTGGACTTTAGTTTCCACAGACTAAAGGTCCCGAACCTTGACCAGGTTATTTAGCTCAATGATTTTTAAAATGTATGTACTCACAATCAAATCCAGAGAAAATTAAATTCTAAATTTTTTTAAAATATAAAAAAAACCTTGTAATACCCAAAAGAGTTGCTGTATTTTGTAAACCTCTTCCAATATTTCCACGAACAACGGCAGAAGCATCTTCTGTAGAAGTATTCATAAGATTTTGAAGATTCAAGTCTGGACGTGAATCTGACGGCAAAAGATTATTTAAAGGAGTACTTCCTCCAACATGTTGCATATTTAATTGAAAATCATTCTGAAAAAAATTAAAAAATATTTTTAATTCAAAACCGTTTGTTGAGTTGCATTATAAGTATTATTAAATTGTGACATTTGTACTCTTTCTCCTCCACCTAAAAATGAAAGTCCAGAAGTTGTATATCTTGAGTCCATCGCATTTTGGATCGCTGAAAAAAAGAAATAAATAGAAAATATATATCTATTTTTTTAATAAATAGAGAATAAATGTAACTATCGAAAAAAGCTAATATTTGTTTATAGACTCCGACTAATCTAACAATGAATGAATTTCGAAAAGCAGCCCCGATTTTCTTAACGAAAAAGTTAAACAAACCCATTCGTTTATAACTCATACGCTGTTGACTGCTAGCTGATTGACGCACTTGATTTAAACGATGAAGTTCCCTCTCGCGTTCAGAGATCCTTTAAATGAGAATCTTTATTTAAAAGAATAAATTAAAATAACCTTTTTCGCAATTCTGTAATTGTTCGCTTTGTATTTTCCAATTCAGACTTGTATTCATCACCTTCCCTTACTAACGATTTTATTCGCCCTTCTCTTTCATCCAATTCTTTTAATATTTTTTTAAGATGCAAGGTACTCTTTTGGTTCTAAAAATTTTTTGTTTAAAAATAAATTTAAAAAAATACTCGTTCTTGCAGACATTTAAACAATCTCTGATGATGCATAGATTGAAATTCAATAATTGTCTTTGCTCTTTTGAGTGAATCTCCAACAAATGAAGTTGGCGGTTTAAACATTTCAAGCAAATCCTTTCGCATAGAGCGATTAATTTGTATAAGTTGGACTTGCTTATTACAAACAAAGCATTGCTGAAAGTTGACAGAGGTCGTATTTGCATCTTAAAAAAATAAAATTTTTATATTTTTTTACTTTTCTTAAAAATAAAAAATCTTAAAGGAAAGAAAGGATTTGAAAACTGATACTCAAATCATTTCAAAAATAAGCGTTTAGCTCGTCATAAAAAAGTTGAACTAATTTTTGAACAATCACGTATGTATAAAGATCACAATCTGTAGTCAAAAAAATCAAATCTCATTATATGACTCAAGAACCACTTTTTCGCTTATCTTTTTTAATTCAGACCTGATAAATTACAAACATTTATTTCAGCATCAATACAATTTTTACAAAAGATGTGACCACAAGAACTCATCCAAAACGATAAATTGTTCTTTGATGGTTGCACTAAACATTTATTACCTCAAAAATAAATCAAATTAGAAGAATGAATGTAACCAGGCCCGTAGCCAGGATTTTTTTCGGGGAGGGGGAAATTTTTTGCGCCAAATTTTTGGCGCCGAAGGCGCCAAAATTTTGATTTTCAGCGCCGCAGGCGAAAATTTTTTGGATTTTGGACCTTAAGAAGCCAGATTTCTTCCTTTTTTAGCGCCGTAGGCGAAAATTTTTTAAATTTCAGAGGCCGTAGGCCGAAAAAATTCACTTTTTTTGCCCCAGCCCTTCCCCAAATTTTTTCCTTTACCCATTTCGGGGGGGGGGGGGGGGGGAATTCCCCCCCTCACCCCCCCCCCCCCCTGGCTACGGGCCTGAATGTAACAATAACTCACAATGAACCCAATTTTGCATACCCGTGTGCATGTTGGAAAATAATTGATAGAAATTTTTAGATTGGAAAAAGCTAAAATTGGAAGTGAAAAAAATAAAATTGGTTAAAAAACAAGTTAAAGCAAAAAGAAAGCTGACAAAAATTTAATAAAAAACGCAATTTGAAAAGTTATAACAAAGTCAAACAGAAACTGAAAAAAATCAAACAAAATCCGAAAAAATTTTTATAAAAATATAAAACGCCAATAATTTGGCAGCAATTTAAAAGATCACAATATTTCTTTGTTAGAGAAAACAGAGAAAAATGAGAAAGTTTTTGGAAAACACTAAAACAAAATCTTTTGTTTTTCTAAAATTGATCTGAAATTTTTTTTTGTTAAATTAAATTATTTTTCTTGCAAAAACTTTATTTTTATTTAAGCTATTTAAAAATAATCACAAAATTTTATATTTTAATTTTTAAAGCCTTAAAACATTTTTTAAGTAATTTAAGAGAAAAATGGCTCGTCGTGAACGTAACCGTATGGATGAACTTTCTGGTGCTGAGTATGTTCATTTTTTATTTAATTTAAATGTTTCTCATTTTTTAAGATATTTGGCGAGTATTTATGGGACAGAAAAAGACAAAGTATTTTAAATTTACACAAATTTAAATTAAAGTTTATTTAACCAATTTAGGATATAGGGTGCAAAATTTATTTTTTTTAATTTTTATTTTTAAATCCAAAACTTTTTAGGTTAATTGTTCATTCTATTTTAAAATTGGCGCTTGCCGTCATGGTGAAAAGTGTTCGCGGACTCATAATATTCCTTCATTTTCGCAAACTGTGCTTTTAAAGGTTTGTTTTAAATTTAATTTACCTTTATGGCAATAATCAATCGATTTGGATTTTTTTTACTTTGTAGTCGAGTAATTCTACATCACAAATTCCTGTCCAAACATAATTTCTGATTCATAATTTCCACATTTGTTCTGAATGTCTTCCATTTAATTTTTCTGATTCCGCGGTACCTAATTAGTGCGCATCGTTAGACAACTTTCGTTGTTCTTGTCTCTTATTCTTTATAAATTTAGGGCTATAATATATTTTTTATTTTTTTAGAATATGTATCACAGTCCAATAATTAATACACAATTAGCAGAAGCATATTCGAAGGTTTAAATTTTGTTTATGAATTTTTGAACAATTTAATTTTTAGCTTCATTCAGCAAATGCTTTAATGCTAAAATCTGGGGAAGAAGCTGAAATTGAGCAGCGTTATTTTGAAGAATTTTTTGAAGAAGTATTTACTGAACTTGATTCAAAATATGGAAGGATTGAAGAAATGAATATTTGCGACAATATTGGTATTTTTTAAAATTTTTAAAAATTATTTTTTTTCATTTTAAGGTGAACATATGATTGGGAATGTATGTTAAAAATGTTTAAAAGGAAAGAACACAAATTAAGGTTTATGTTAAATTCTATGATGAAGAGGATGCTGAAGCTTGTGTTAAGGGACTTGAGAATCGTTGGTTTAATGGTGAACCTATTTATGCGGAACTGTCACCTGTGACTGACTTTCGGGAGGCGTGCTGTCGACAGGTTGCTAATTTTAAATTTGTTAGGGATTGGGAAGTAGTAAAAACCTTTTATTTAAGTTAAAAGTAGGTTCATCTTATTTTTGGGTTGTTAAAGAATTTTTTAATGTAGAATTCGCTAAATTGATTGTGGTCTATTTTCTCTAAATTTAACGATCCAAGATTTCGTTGACACAACACTTTTACTTTAAAGTACCGAAAATTTATAATTACACCCAATATTAATTCAAGGGAGGGAGATTTACAATAAAAACAGAGTTTTCCTTTCAATAAATTTTAAAATTAAATTCCAGGTTTGTTCCTTTGTTTTTTGGGGGAAATTTTGCTAGAACGATTAAAAACGTTGCATTTTCTCATTTTGGCAGTATGAACTGGGTGATTGCAGCAAGGGAGCCTTCTGCAATTTTATGCATTTAAAACCGATTTCGCGTGAACTTCGCCGCCGTTTATATGGTTCTCGAGCTAGAACGCCTGATCGTTTTGGGAAAACACAGCCACGAAGAGGTTAAGATTACTTTAAATGTAGGGGAGATTTACTGGATGCGATTTTTCGTAGAATTCCAACAATAAAATATAACTCAAAATTCGATAAAATTTAACCTAAATCCCAACAAGGTAAACACGGGCAAGACACGCTTTAGGATTAATTTTTATGATTTCATTTTTATATTCACAACGTTAGTTTTCCTCAGTTTTCATTTCAAAACTCCTCTTTAAAACTTTTAAATCTATAATCTTGCAGATCGTGAATGGGAACATGATGATCGAACTGAAAGAGACGGAGGAAGCAATAGACGTCGTTCTCGAAGTCCGAGAGCAAGGAGACATTGACAAGGATTATGCACGCCATTCCGTTAAGATAAATGAAATAATTCTCTACTTTAAAAACAGCAAAAAATTGGATGGTTGAATATTGGTGTTTTCTTTAGTTTATTTTTTTATATAAATTTTTTTGAAGATGCGTTTATCAAATCTTTTCTTTTTGCTGATAAAAATACAAAAAGAAAGTAAAATTTTTATTCTATTATAGGAAATATATATCTGGTTTTTAATGAAAATTCATTTTTTTTGTCAGTGGAGAGAATTAAAAGTTAAAAGAATTAAAAGTTATAACTTGCATGTGTTTACTTAGTTCTTTATGTACTCAAAAATGTGTATATAAAGACTATAGTACCACATGATGGGTCATTGTATGCTACGATACTAAGGGATATATATTATATCACCAAGTATGGAACCATATATACTTACCTACTTTATATATTATTTTCTGTACTATCCCATTATCCCACTATTTTGAATTAAATTCCGTCCTCTTCGAATATATCTCTTGATATCCCTTAAATCCTCTGATATTTCCTGATTACGTTCAAATCCATTGCTATCCTCTAATACTCTGTTATCCTTAAATCCTATACCTTGATATTTCAGCTGTTAAATACTACTTTGATCCATGTCTACTTTTTTAGGAGAGGGAAAAAAGGAGAAGAAAAATAAAAGTGGTAATTCTTTTGAGAGGGGGGAATTATTCGAGTTTTGAGGGAGGGGAATTAATCGAGGGAGGGGAATTATTGTTTCAACCTATCTCTGACAGGGGGAATTAATCGAGAGGGGGAATTATTCGAGGGAGGGGAATTAATCGAGAAAATACGGTATTCGAAATTAAAATAAGTTGAGGAATTAGAAGAAAATAATTGATTATACATTTTTGTTCATCAACGGGTAGAAAATACTATAAGTAGCATCGATGCCCTTTCGGGTCCTAAGGATAGAAATAAGTCTGTCTCCCTTACAACAAAGTCTACTAATTTGTAAAGAACGAGAAATTGCACAAAATTATAAGTTCAAAGGGATAATTTAAATATGTAGATATTCGCCGCAATCCTTTTTTTTATTTCTGTTCTCGAGTTGGTGTTGTTGTTCTTTGCAATCTGAGCCTCAAAAGAAATATTTTAATTAAAAAAATATTCTTTTTTACTTTTTCTGTCGAATCCGTTCACATTTTTCACACGGAATGTCCAATTCTGGATCATAAGACGAAGAAGATAAACGTTTTGAAGCCATTCGGTGACATTTTTTGTGACTGAGTGAACCACAACTGTCACATCTTTTTTTCAAATTTTTTTAATTAAAAATTAATTAATTAAAAACCTATAACAACGTTCCAATTGAAAAGGAAAAAGTAAATCTTTTGGGTCCATACAAATTTGACAGAAAAATGCTTGTTGACGACAATGCTTAAAATTAAAAAGAAAAAACAATTTTAAATTCTTCAAACAAAATTTATTTTTACCTCACAACTTTCAATATGAGCTGCACCCATTTTTGCCAACGGTTCAAGAAATTCTATCAAATTTTTATTTGCAATACGTTCAAAGTCGACGAGCGAATAAATATCTATACATTCAAGTGAACGGAAACGTTTTGGTACAGATGTGAACATTGTCCTAAGACTAAATGTAAAAAAGAATTGATAAATATTTAAAATTTATCAATGAAATTTTTAGTAATGATTAATAATATTTTAAGAGAATAAGGGAAACATACTTATTGTTAGATTTGTAGTTCCCTTTTTTACCGTAGAGGGCTATATTCAAGGTTATTTCTACTACTATAATTCTAAAATAATATTCCAAAATTATTTTTAACTAATTCTAAAATAATTTTTAAAAATTATTTTTCAACATACATTCCATTTTCAGTAAGTAATTCCCCAGCAATTTTACACATTTGAACAAAAGGCCACATATGAGCTACTTTAACTCTTAACTTTCGAAAACGTTTCAAATTTTTAACATTTCTATATAATTGTGGATTTATTAGGCGAACATTAAAAACTGGTTGGTCTTCATTTTCTGTAATAAAACTAAAGGCAATGTCACAAACTGGATAAAATTTTAAATTCCAATCAGAAAGAATTCGTGCTGGTAAACGACTCTAAAATATTAAAGAGAAATAAATTGAAAAGTAGAAGGGAAATAAAAAAACCTTTGAACCCTGATGACAACAAGGACAAAATAATTTTGAATAATAATGACAGAATTGTGCTTGTCTTGTATTTAATTTATCAAATTTGTGTCCACAACCAGCACAACGATGTTTTTGTAATGCCAATTGAGTTAAAAAACTTTAAACGAATTTTCTTTATTTAAAATCAACAACTTACTCATTCGGCTTTACAATGTCAAAAATAAATTTTTTTCTAGGTGGCCGCCAACTTTTATGTAAACTACTTCCATTTAATATTTTTATATTTGAAGGAGGTGGGGCATCAGTAATCCGTCTCATAATTTCAGCAAGTTTTGTTGACTAGAAAAATTTTTTCAATTTTTAAAAAAATATTTAAACAAACATTTTGGAGAGTAACCGAGTCAGTTAATGCAACAATTAAATCCTTCAAATTATTTGCATTAATTTTGGGCGATAGAGAAAGATTTTGCTCTTCTTTTGAATAATCTCTTTCTTCTATTTCATCACATTTTTGTTGTCTCGTCGAATTCGAAGATTTTGGTGAATGGGAAATATAGGAAGTTGAAGGTTGTCCCAAATTGTTTGTGTTATCAAAAAGTGATAATTCTATATCTCTAAAATTAATTACGTATTTTTGTTTGAGTTAATTAAAATATTAAAGTGAAAAACTGAAATTTGATATTATATTTAGTCATTAAGTTTCAAATATGCATGTTAAAAAAATGGGTAAATCCGAGTTTGTCCGAGTTTTATGCAGAAAATACTAATGTTATACATATATCAAATCAACGTTTTCAATTCTTTTTTTAATTAACAGTTTCAGTAGGAAAAAAACCTTGAAGTTCCAGGCTTCTGTGAACATTCTTCTTGTGAATTTTCAAAATAAAAAAAGGAACGGCCCTCCTCAAGTTTATAATCAAAAGAGGATTTCGAACCAGTTTCTGATTTATTTGAAATAGAATTACTCCTCAGAATATTAAATTGTTTGAGATATAAACAGGGATCTACTTCCTCATCAAAATCAATATTTGCAGTCATTTCTTTCCATTGAAGTTCTTCCATAGATTCAATTAGATAATCGCTAAGTTGAAGACAAACTTTCTTTAAAAAATATTTTTTCCTTAAATTTACAAAAAAATTAGAAACTTGTTCATCAATTGGTTGTCTTTCCACACTCTTTTCAACCCCGCTTCCAGCAGAGATTGCCGATTCATTTGAAATCAGAGACAAATTATCCCAAACCAAATTATCAGATGTTGCATCAAATATTTTGGGTTGGACTTCAGGGCTTAGATCTTCAGCCAGTAAAAAGGAATTAGAACGAGTTCGAGTTGATTGAGTGATTGTGTTTTCCTTTAAAAAATTTTTTGTTAAAAAAATTATTTAAAAATATTACTTTAATAAATGCAATATCAGACGAAATAAAAATTGGAAAGGCCGGTGTGACAGATAAACTCAAGCGATTATTTGTATGCCGAGAAGAAGAGCTTTGATGTCCATGACTTGAAAACATACAGAAATATTTTTTAAATTTTAGTAATTATTTCATCTAAAAAATTCATTTAAATATCTATAAATTAATAACAAAAATATGAATCATTAGGAATAAAAATTTAGTGTGATTCATTTATTAAATATAACTAAAATCAGTAGAATAATGGGATGGGACGGAAGCGATTTTATTATTCAATTCTTTTAGGAATTTAGGTCAGTTTTTGATTTTTAGTGTGAACAAATTTTAACAAAAAAGAGGACGGTTAAGGACGATTCAGTATCGCCGATTCAGTCTCGCCGATTCAGTATCGCCGATTCAGTCTACGCCGGAGCAGTTCAACTGAGTCCGCACGATTGAGTCCCCACGATTGAGTCCGCACGATTGAGTCCCCACGATTGAGTCCGCACGATTGAGTCCCCACGATTGAGTCCCGGCACAATTGAGTCCCCACGATTGAGTCCGCACGATTGAGTCCCCGTTGTATATACCTCAATTGAGTCCCCGTTAAAAATTCCCGGTAGGGGACACTTGTGTACCGCCGTTTGTGTACCGCCGGTTGTGTACCCACCCAAAGGGGGACGTTTGTGTACCCGCATTATTTTCCTAGATTTTTTTATTGTTTTTTTTTTATTTTTTTGTTTTTCTTTTGGGGTTTGCAACTAATTTTGTTAATTAGTTGACCGAGCATCCACTCAAGTCCATCCGAGCACTGAATTTTCTCAATGAGGACGAGAGGGAGGACGAGAATCTTGTGTAGGTAAAAGTTTAATTTTTATTTTTTAATTTTAGATTTTATATTTCAGGTTGGTCTAACTTTGCTCATCACGTGACGGACTTCATCCCACGGCTGCAACGATGGGAAATTTGAAAAGGTTTGGAATTTTTATTTTGTTTTTCGTTTTTATTTTTAAAATTTTTTAGTTGATTTTCGTCAGTTTCTGACTGGCGATTTTCAAGTTCACAGTTTCTGAAGGAACGAAGGTGGTGAACTTAGGAGAACAAAAAACGAAAGAAAGGCCCTTCTTTGGCACAATAATTGAAGCTAGACTTTGGTTTTTTTAATTTTTTTGATAAAATTTTTAAAAAATATTTTTTTATTTTTTTTTCACATTTTGATTTTCTCCCGTATCCAGGTAAATTCTGCCGGAGTCCGGAAATTAGGAAGGAGTTTTTACTTTCGTAATTTAGATAGTTTCCCCTACCCTCCATAGTAGCACAAAAAGTTTTTCCAGCGAAGATTCTGTTGGTCAAAATTTGTTCAGAATCATTCAATCAATTTGATTTTGGTCTTATTCAACTCATCTCGTCGATCCCTTTCGAATGAGCTGTCATTCAAAAAATCTCCCGATATCCCCGCTTAAATCTACTTATATCCCTTGATATTCACCAATATCCATCTTGATACCTCGATGTCGCATACAAGTCCCCTGATATTAACATTAATCCCTCCAAATCCCCAAATATCCCTCTTAATCTTTTTTAATATAATTATTTTAATATAATTAAATCTAGGGGACTCAATTGAGGTATATACAACGGGGACTCAATCGTGCGGACTCAATCGTGGGGACTCAATCGTGCCGGGACTCAATCGTGGGGACTCAATCGTGCGGACTCAATCGTGGGGACTCAATCGTGCGGACTCAATTGAGGTGTACCGAGTCTACGCCGATTCAGTATCCGCCGATTCAGTATTCGCCGATTCAGTATAGCCGATTCAGTATACGTGGAAAAGGGGACGATTCAGTATACGTAGAATAAAATACCCTAAAAATAGAAATTTTTGGAAAGGAACTGATTTATTTTTTCGTTTTAAGCATTTTCTTTGTTCTTTAGGTGGTCTACCATAACAATTAGCAATAACCAACAACAATTATTAACGAAAAAAATAATTTTTATGGAAAATTTAGAATTTTTTTTAATTTTTTAAAATTTTTAAATTTCTTCAATTTTCTTAATATCTCAAGACGGCGAGAATTCTACAGTGAATGGCGAGGTTTCTACTACAGACACATGGTTTATTTTTTAGTTTTTTGGCTTTTTGAAATTTTTTTTATTTTCCCCATTATGTACAAGGGGGAGCTATAGCCCCAGAAGCTCCCTGGCCTTTATCCCTACGAATTTTTGCGGGCTTTTTGCGGAGATTTCTTACTTCCCAATTCTACTCCCCATTCCATTTTTTATTTTTAAAATTTTTTTAATTTAAGACAATCCGGTCCTGGACTTGTTCTTATTTGTGTCGAGCAGCTTGCTGTTGAGGTGGTTGCCTGGTCCTCTTTAGGGCAACAAATCTAATGAGTGAAATGTAGACCTTGTTCTTATTTATTTTTTGATAAATTTTTGTTTATTTGACTCATTTTTAAAAAAATTTTTGTTCCCCGAAGAAAAAAAGTCGAGACCAAAACCTCACCCTAAGCCAGAAAAAGCCTAAGAGAAGCCTAGAATTAAGCTTTAAAGATGTTCTATAGATCGTAGAAAGTAAGAAACACGAAAAAAATCTACAAGAAAAAAGATTTTCTAGCCCAAAAATATACGTATACTGAATCGTCCCCTTTTCCACGTATACTGAATCGGCTATACTGAATCGGCGAATACTGAATCGGCGGATACTGAATCGGCGTAGACTGAATCGGCGATACTGAATCGGCGAGACTGAATCGGCGATACTGAATCGTCCCCTACCCAAAAGAGGAAGAGGGGGACACCTAAGTCCCGTAATTTCGGTTTTCAGTCCTAGCTCAATTTTTTAAAGGTTAACTTTTACTATATGGATCGAACTGATCTGATCTCTCGGGACCTTTGATTTTATAAAAATTATTCAGATCGGTCAAGAATCAAAAAAGTTATGGCCATATACTGAATCCGGGGATACTGAATCGTCCTTTTCCGGTGTAAATTTTTTAATCACTATACCAACAAAAAATAATTTTAGCGTTCGTTTAAATTTTCATTTTATGCAAAGATATTATCAGATGTTTCTTTGACAAGCACATTTTTAAAAGTGGTTTCATTTTATTTGTTTTTCTTTTTCTTTTACAAATTATGCCCCAAATATTTTTAAATAAAATTTTTGCTTTTTCAGCTTTAGCTAGTAATTACTAACTAGCTAGTACATAATTATATTAGACAAAATAGTTTCCTAGAAAAAATGGTTCAGTGCTCAAGCAGCAAAATGAATGCATCAAAGCTTGTCAATTCCTTGCTTGGATTAAGTCATGTTCGAATTCAGAATGTTGAGACAGTTACAAAGAAACTTCAATTAATGGCACAAGCGAGCAGCAACAGACTTATGGTTATTTTTTGTGTAATTATCTATCCAATCTTCGTTTAATTTAGACAATCTCTGATTTTGACTATACTCTTTCTCGATACCACAATAATGGACAAAAATGTGTTACAACACATGGGTTACTTGAATATGTTGCTGCCGAAATCAATCCTGATTTTCAAAGACGTATTTGTGAGTTGCGTGATAAATATGTTGTGATTGAATACTGTCCTCAGACGTTGATGGAAGATAAAATTCCTATCATGGAGCAATGGTGGAGAGAGTCACATGGATTGATTGAACAGGTTTTTCTTCGAAAATAAATATTTGGGACCTCTCTTCAGAAGCGGAGGTCATTAGTAGGTTTTTTCGGTTCCTGGAAATTCTTCGGATATCCGAAACCGAACCGAAGAACTGAACCGAAAAAAGGTTTGGTTTGCTCAAGAACCAACAACCCTAATCATTAGAATACTTTTTCTTTCCCTCTCTATTTAAATCTATGTATTATTAATTGCATCTTTTTTAAAAAGTTTTTACCTAAGTATTAACTTAAGTATCTATTAAATTTGTATTATATTTTGTTTTTTTAGTACAGACCGAAGAAATCAAAATTACGTGATGCTGTGAAGCGTTCGCAGAGTCTTCTTTTAAGGCTTGTTTTTTAATAATATTATCAAAGTAATTTTCGTTTACGACTTGTCAGAAAAAAATTTTTTCGATAAGCGGTCTACCGTCAAAAATTTTTAATTTAAAAGATTTTATATTTTTGAAGAGATGGCTGTGCTGATTTTCTTTTAACTCTTCATCAAGCAAAAGTTCCAGTTGTATTATTTAGTGCTGGAATAGGGCAAATAATTGAATTTGTTTTGGAGCATCAATGTGATGAACGTCAAATGGACGAAGCTTTTCGTCTCAGAGATGTTCATATAATCTCTAATTTTATGCATTTTTCATTAGAACAAGAAGAAGAAGAGGCAGAATGTGTTGGATTTGTTGAACCTTTAATTCATACTTTTAACAAAAATTCGTCAGTAATATCACAAGAAGCCCCGTTTTTTAAAAGTATTGCTGAAAGAACTTCTGTGTTATTACTTGGAGATAGTTTGGGAGGTTGTTTTTGTAAATAATTAAAGTTTGTCTTATTTTTTTTCATTTTTAGATGTTCATATGGATGTTGGTGTTTGTCAGGAATTAATTGTTCTCAAAATTGGCTTTGTAATTTTTTTATCTATATTTTAAATTTTTAATGAATTACCAACTTGTGTTGGCGGATCCGGATCCAAAAAATTTAAATATCCGAAAATTTATATACGGATATCCGGGGATTTTCCATGATTCTCAGCTTTTATTACTAACACGTGGAGCCATAATATTTGAATTATTAATTTTTCAAATTAATTCCCGCTCTCTTTAAGTGCTATACCCCTAAAAACTTTCGATAAACCTTTTTATATTAGCCTAAAAAAATTTTATTTTCAGCTTAATTTCAACTTTGATAGCCTTATGGAACGTTATATGGAAGAATATGATATTGTTTTGGTTGATGATCAAACAATGGAAATCCCTTCAAAAATATTTTGTTATATTCATAATGAGGGTGAACAGGTTGATAATGGTATTATTGATGGATTTTCTGTTGATATGGAGAAAACAATTGAGAAGGTTAAATAAATTGAAGAAATTTATATATAATATTAGAGATAATTAACTATAAATTGAGAAGAAGAAAAGAAAATAATTATTAAAATTTTTAACAAAAATATATTATTGTGCTTTTTGTTTTTTTAAAAACGCCTTTTTCGATGTGAAAATTTTTTTATAAAAAAGTAAATTTATGAACAAGGATGATTATAATTTTTAGTCTTATAGTAGATAAAACAGTCGTATGTATCTTCTGAATATTTATGTAATTTATAGTTTTCCCTTACCTCTGGATTTTGAATTTTACCCGTATCCGAATTTTACCCGTAATTTTACACAACCTGGAATACGACACTTAATCGAGACCATTTAGTCGCAGAAAACCTAAAAATGAAACCTAAACAATTAGTCACTCTCCTTCATAAATTGGACAGTTTTCGTGATCCCAAGCTTGATCTTGAGCAATATGCTACGCCACCAGATATTGCAGGTATGTAGCAGGGATGTCACGGGTTACCCGAAACCCGAAACCCGGCCTTTTTTTCGACCCGATACCCGAAACCCGATCCGAGAAATTTTCTAAAACCCGACCCGAAACCCGACCCGAGAATTTTTATTTTTCAAAACCCGACCCGAAACCCGACCCGAGTTTTCTCAAAATTTTCGCCCTCGTCGGAGAAAAAGGGAAGATTTTTAGCTTAATGATCTTCCAAAATTCTAAAAATTTTCGCCTGCGGCGCTGAAAAAGGGAAGATACCCGGGCTTTTTTTCGACCCGAAACCCGAAACCCGATCCGAAAAAAATTTTGAAAACCCGATCCGAAACCCGACCCGACTTTTTGCTCAACCCGAAACCCGAAACCCGATCCGAGAAAAATTTTGGAAACCCGATCCGAAACCCGACCCGACATTTTTCTCAACCCGTGACATCCCTGGTATGTAGAATTAAGTTATTTATTTAGTGTTAGAAAACTAGTTATAATTCTAAATTTTTCAGTATCATTAATTCAGCACATTAATTACGACATTGAGAACTTGAATAATTGTTTTGTAGCGGATCTGGGCTGTGGGACAGGTACATTTAGTCTAATAATTTTAGAGTAATTTATTTTTGAAGGTACTCTGCTAGTTGGTATGCTGCTTGCTGGAGCCAGGTACACAAGATTTTCAGAATACAAGAAAAATTTTAATTAAAAAATTCACAGATTTGTTGTCGGTATTGATATCGATCAGGATTCGTTAGAAATATGCCGAAGTAATATAACAACTTTTACATCGTCTGAAATGTGTTACGACTTAATTCAAATGAATTTGAGGATTGGGCAAATTCCAGAAAAGCTTCATGGCATCTTTGATTTGGTTATAACAAATCCACCTTTTGGCACCAAGAAAGGGACTGAAGGTATTGACAAAAAATTCTGACGTTTTTTATTCACCAAATCTTTAAAGGGGCAGATGTTGATTTCGTCAATGCCGCATTGTTGTTAGCAAAGCCTAGAGGAGGTCGTGTTTATTCTCTACATAAATCATCTACGCGCAAATTTTTAGAAAAGAGATTTTGTAGAGGTGGGTTAATAAAGATTCATTTTATAAATTTCAATAAATACCTAATAGTTTAAGCTGAAAAGGAAAACGGTGAATTTTTACGAGTGGAGCGTGTAGCAGAAATGCGTTGGAACTTGGATCAAAGTTACCGCTTTCATAAAAAACAGAGTGTAGATATTGCTGTAGATCTGTTTATGTTTGAGCGGAATAGAGTAGACCATGGATGAGTGAAAGACATCAAAATTAAAAAAAATTATTTTTAATTTGTAGCAGATACATATGTAAATATTTACATTTTGTTACGCTTATAAATCACACTTATTGTTAGTTTGATTATCTCTAGAGCCTGGAATTTTGTATTTATTCCGTACCGACCGGAATACTGAATAATACCCTTTGAATCAACAATTTGCCGCACCCCATACTTATCATGAATCTTTTAGTACGGTACCTTCCGGGCTCTAGTTACCTCTGCCTATATCCAATTGAGTATTCATACATAAATTAGAATCTATTTGAGTTGATATGGTACTTATTAATATTGCCAGACTAGAGAGTTGTTGTCGCATCTTTCCATTCTTCAAGTGCATACTCCTCTACCCTCCTCCAGTAATCCATTTGTTGCATTCGCATCTCTCGTACATGCGCAAATAACTTTGTATCCAATTTCTCCATACTTATAATGAATCTTGATTCGTATTTCCAAAAGTTTTTAGCTTGGCTACCGCTTTTCGCACAATTGATCGTTGTCATTTCACTTGCAAGTTTGGCGTTGTCCAAGTTAAACGGTGAGAACCACCCACCCCATTTCGTGGAGTTTTGCCATCTTTAATATAACACAAGGGGCTGAATATTAGAAAAAAATTGCCACGTACTTTCTTTTGAAGCCATGGAGGAAAAAGTCACGCTTCTCGTTCCACTCGCTTCCAGAAAGCCAAATATCACGCGCCCAGTACTGCCTAAAGTCTGTCAATAAGAGAAGACTTGTGGATATTCCTTCCTTTTCTTCTAAAAACAAATTCCGTTTTCCTAATGCACTTCTTGCACAGTCGGTAAAAAGCCGAAGACCATCATCATCTCTTGAACGCTGCCAAAGTTTCATGCAGAGGAAACGTCGTGAAGAGCAGCCATCACCACAGAAGCGATCCAAGAAAACGGCCCAAAAATATTAAATTTTGATTAGGTATGTTGTTATCTCTAGATAAGGTGAATGTGAAAGCCACTTACATGGATTGCGCCATTATCTGTTCCATGCCAACTCCATGGTAATTTGTAAAAGTAATCGGCCCAGAAATGTAAGAAATTGATGGTTGCTTTTGTATTTCTATAAATTTGGATTTTATTCCCAAATTAATAAACCCACTGTAATGAACAGTAAAACTACAGATGTCACAAGTATTCATAATCAGTTAAAGTTTTAACCTTAACATCAATCTCTCCTTATTAAACTAAACCTAATGACTATATTCCAAAGTCATTTTTATTAAAAGGCTAATGAGACCTGGCGATATAGCTGCCAGCACAAAATTCACCATTAAATATTCGCTCGTAGAAGACAAGATCAGGAAGCGATTGTATTTTTCCATCTCTCATCGTATTTTGTGGCAGATATTCCTCCACCATACGTGATGGATTTACAACTCCAATGTCAGCATCAAGAAATAATACCCATTCTACATTTGCAGAGTTGTCACTGAGGAAATGGGCGAGCGCACAATGTCGCCGAAACATAAACTGCGCTATTTAAGTAAATTTATTTGACTAACATTATTTTTAATTTAACTATTTTTCTCATAAAACTCACATCACTTTGAGGACATAGAGCAGAAAGCGTAGAATTACTTGAAAAGTCCAAAATAACAAGTGGATAGCGTTTAGCTGCACAATAGCAGCGCAAAGTGCTATGTGCAATTTCGTACTCAGTAATTAAGTCGCTTAAAAACATTTGTATAGCGTTATGAAATTATAAATAATTTCAAAATACCTCGCTGACTTGACGACAACAAAAATTACGATACGAGCATTACCTACTTGTTAAAAATTTATAGACTTCAATATTGTAATTAACCTTTAATATTAGTAGAATGTATCTCACTAACATTGTGTTGCCCTAATCCTCGAAGAACAACATAAATTAAAAGACTTAATGTTAGAAGGAGAAGGAACTATTAAGTAAAATTGAAAAAAAATTTTGACGAAATATTCGAGTTTTTAAGAAACTCACCAAAGCTTTTCTTCGCAGTATACAACAGAAACATTTCCACATGTTTATACTCACTTTTTTGAAAAGCAAAAATGTTTTTACTCCCTCAAGAGGTATTTTAAGTCCATATTAAGCGTTGCTAACTCTTGATACCTAGCGACAATAAATAATTAAAATATAACGAAAAGAGCTATAAAAGCTAAAAAAAATTTGAGGGTAATAATAATTTTATTGGGATTGGTTAAGTAAATTAAATATTTCAAAAGAGTAAAAACGAACGTACAAATGATAAGAAAAAAATACAAAAAATAGACAATATTTTTTAAAAATGAGTAGTGGGCCAAGAGTAAAAAAACCAGAGAAATGAGCAAAGAATCGATAATGGCAGAGGATGCGATTAAAATTTGGCCATAATAAATTTTTAAAATCAAATATAGTGCACTATACTGATGTGCAAAAGTTTATCTACACCGATAAAAAAATTTTTTTAAACGTTATGTTTCGGGAAAAATGCGTTTAAAAATATGATTCATAAGTATTAAGTGAAATGTGCTATTTCTATTAAACTTGAGTTTAAAAATAATCACCATGATGCCTCAGAATTTTCAAGCAAAGCTAAACCCGCGACTGACTCCCAACTCGAAACGTGCCACCTAGTTAAGCTAAACTAAAACAGACTTCAACAACTGCCCCTCAATGTATCGAATCTGAGTCTTTTGTTAAGTACATACAATTAAGTGTGTTAATATATTCCACGGCAGTTTTTTACTATAATTCGATGTTTAACAAAAATTAAAAATTATTTTGAAAAATATTTATAAATGAATGGAGAACAAATTGAATAAAATGTTACTAAAGTAATTATGAGGGATAACTGTAAACTTTAACTTAAAAATAAAATTTGAACAATTTCCTTCTCTCCATTTATATTTTTAAAATAAAATTGTGGAATTACAAAAAAATATTTATTATTTGGAGGTTTTGAAAATAAAGTTAAGGAGGTTTTTTTGAATAATTTTTGCAAGTGAATGCCTTATTTTAAAATGAAAATATATGTTGAGGTAATAATTTTGGATTGGTCCCTGAGAAATACAAAAAACGTTAAATTATTATGTTAATATTTGGGAATACTTGAGTTTAGACTGGAAAATATTTTTTTCACATGGGTGTTCAAAATTGTGTGATTCAATAAGCAAAACAAATTTTTCTAAACTCAAGTATTCCCAAGAGAAATTTTCAGAATTTCATCCCCTAAAATATTTTTTTCGTCTTCTAACTCTCAATAGAAGGCCCCGGTCTTCCTCTCCCACCACCACCAGCTGTTGATGGTTGCATTCCTTGTCCAGTACGTTTTGGACAGTCAGCAATTAAATGCTTATTTGAGAAACAAATATAGCAAACTTTAACATTATCTTGCATTCTCTTACATTTTGCTGCTTTGTGATGGCCAAATTGACCACATTTGTAGCACCTTATATTTGAAATATTTAGAATATTTTCTTCAATCCGAGCTATCAGTTATTCTGAGACTTATGTTGTCCACCCTCTCCTAGGTTCTTCCCTCTCTCAAATTTTCTTCAAAATCCCTTTCCCCCCAACTTTATCCCCATTCTCTTTCCCATTAAAAATTTACCTAATTTCCTTTTCTTTCCTCTTCCCCAATGGATGAATTCGATGTCCACGTATTGCCACTCCATTCAATCCCGTAACATTTTCAGCCTCCAATCCACGTTTACCCAAACGAACATTAAATTCTACAGCTTCACCTTCATCAAGTGAACGAAAGCCGGGCATTTGCAATGAAGATTGATGAACAAAAATATCATCTCCTTTAAATTTATTTTCCTCTAAATTTTTTTTCTCAATTTTTAAACTACCATGTTCTTTAGCCTCCTCAAAGTCAGGTAAAATAAATCCAAATCCCTTTGTTACATTAAACCATTTACATATCCCTGTCCATTTTTGTCCAATATAACCATTATAACGAGCAAAATCTTCTTCTGTAGGTTCTTTACGTTCAGCTAAAGCTTGCTTTTCTTTTTCTTCCTCTCCCAATTTTGGCAGAGCTGAGGCTAATTCACTTGTATCCATTGCTTGTTCTGATTCCTTTTCTTTTATTTCTTCTTTTGGAGGAGTATTTCCCGATGGTGATTTGCTGGACATTGAGAAGAAAGTTTTGGATGTTACTGAAAATTTTTTGATAGAATAAGTTTTTGTGAAATAAAAAAAGGAATACTAATTTGATTCTTTTAGTGGATTCTCATTTCACTCAAAGAAAAATATTTTTTCTTCCTCATATCAAAATTTCAATTTAACAAGAAAGGACAAATTAGGTGATTTGATGGACATCGCATCCACTTTTACCCAAAGCCCTAAAAACCCCTAATCTAAAACCCTAACTCCCTCCCAACTTCCCACTATCCTCCCAATTTCACAAAATTTCTGATACATATCAATACAATTCTGATATTATTTTCAAATTTAAGACTTGCCTTTTCTTCTCCGCGTGAAGCGCAATTACTTTTGAACACAACGTTATAATAGATAAAATATATTCTCTTTTCCCCTAAAAAACCTATTATTTTTTTAGAGAAACGTTTTTTTGATGGATGAATGGGCCAATATAAATAGTGTGTTTATAAAAAAAGAGGAGTTACTTGCAACAAAGAGGGAGGGAGGAAGGGTCATAAGATAAAAAAAAATAGGAGTAAATATTTAAGTATAGACTGTGGAGACGTAAAAAAAAAGCAACAACTACTTTCTTAACCCGATAAAAAAAATAAGAAAAAATTAATTAAAAGATGTTTAATTTTTGTATAAACTGCGCGGATATATTTTGTGGAATTAAATGTATCTTGAGTTTGATGAAAATTAAAAAGTAGAGGAGGATTCTGTGGTGGACTAACTAAAAATATATTTTAGTAGTTTTGACCAGAAAAAGCCATAATAATAATGGTCAGTATTTTCGGTAGAATGAATGGAAATGTTTTCACAATGATGATTCTTTTCTTTCAACTATTCTTCCCCTTTTAAATTCTCTGAAAACTGGGTGGGCTTGTTTGAATAAACAAACAATTTTTGAATATATTTACATTTCTAACTAAACTGGTTTGTATGAAATATAGATCATTAGAAATTTAACAATCCAAAAATATTTGGAAATATAAGAAAACTTGGCCGAGTTTGAATCGTATTTACAGATTTAATTTAGATTTATCAGAATCTTCAAAAAAAAGTAATCGAGTGAGCCTTTCATTTAATGTCTCTTAACTTTAATTTACAAGCATTCGAGTGACGGTTTCAAATTAAAAAATACAAAATAAATAATTTTACAAAAAAATTCCTAATAATGACCCCTTTCTAAATTGTGAGAAAGGACCACGAAAAAGTGGAAATAAAAGTGCAAAACAGAAAAGAATAACGGAAAGAGTCGATAGATGAATGGGTGGATGGAGGATATATTCTTCATCTTCTCTGAACCACCTGTCCTCGATGGACAGTTGGCGTTCTTCTTCTTTTTCCATTTTTTCTGGGTTTTCTCTTATTTTTTTGGGGTGGTCCTTCTCTTTCTCATTCACAAGAATTTCCCCTCCAAAAATATACACACAAACAGGTATATATTTATTAATAACTAAAAAAAGAAAAAAATTGGCAATCACCCAAAAATAATTTTTTCAGTGTTGCTATTTTTAAATAAAAAAATATTAATGGATTTTGTTAATGGGAAAAAAAAGGATTTTTTTATTAACACACCAAATGAAAGTAGGGAAAAAAATTAATTTTGTGACAGAAAGTTTAAAAATTAAAAAATATTTTTAATTTAATTTCCATAAAGGACAGCATTAATTTCCCCCATTATATAAACTTCTCGTCCATTATATTTACTTGAAATATCTGCTTCTAACTTTAAAAAATTATTTTAAATAATTTTTACAAAAATTTTTCTTACATTTTCTTGTAAAGCCTTTGCTGCTTCAATAATTTCTTGTAAAAGAATATTTACTTTTTGACTTTCTTCAAAATATTGTTTTTGTTTTTCGACTGATAATTGTTGTAATTGACGATATTTTAATTCAAGACGCATTTTTTGTTCAATTTTTGAACAAATTTCATTTACAAAACTGAAAAAAAATTTTTTAATAGAAGGGAAGAAGTTCCAATTCTTTAAAGCAGGGCTCCGATATCAAATTTTTAAAAATCCTCATAATCTTCACAAAAATCCATATTTTTAAGAATAAACCTCATTGACTTATCAAAAAACCACAAAAGGAGGAAAAACCCACACACATCGGATCCCTGCTTTAAATTTTGCAAATTTGTTTTATAAACATTTAACAAAAATTTAAAAGAAGTTTTTGGCCATCAAAATATTTTATAATTTTATTTATTAAAAAAACCAACTTTTTCGAAGTTCTCAATCTAAGTAACTGTAATCGTTGTGTATTCCCCAATTCATTAAATATATTCTGTAAATTTAATAACCAACATTTTAATTCAGGTAAATTAATTAATTCCGTTAATTTATTAATTTCTTTTTGTGCAATTCCTGACAAATAAATTTGTGCATTTCCATCAATTGCACATTCATCTTTAATTCGAAAATGTAAAAATCCTGTAAGAATTGATATTTCATCCAAAAATATTCCACAAGTTAGAGGATGTTCTAATACTGGTAAAGCTTCTTCTCCTTTAGCTGTCACAATTGTTGAATCATTATTATCTGAAAAAATTAAAGGAAATTATTCTAAAATATTTAAAAGTAAAAGAAACTAATGGTTTAGGTCTAGTTTAGTAGTCCAATGAAAGTTTAACAGTCCATAAACTTTCAATGGACTACTAAACTAGACACGAACCAAAGTTTTAATGAGGAAATCTAATAAATGGTCCAAAAAATAAATCTAAAAAAAGATTGATGAGTTCGACTTCAAACTCCATAGGAAATTAAAGAAAGCTAACTTTATAGAAAAAATTGAATTAAAATTAAGCAAAAATTTTTAGAAGAAAAATAAAAAAAACTAAACTTTGAATTTAAAATAAACCTAATTAATTAAAAATACCCAACCATTATTTATATTTGTAACATCAATTCCATCTGAAGATATAATTTGAATACTTTCATCAGAATCCCCATTTGTACAAAAATCAATTTCAGCAATATCAACATCATCTCCAAAATCTATTTCATCGCTCTAAATTTCTTTAAGAAATTATTAAAATTTCAATTAAATTTTTGGTTTTATCCATGGCATCTAACAAAAAACTATTTCTATTGAAAAAGGAGGACAGATAAATAAAGGTTTTCTTCCCCACAAATAAAAGAGGGCAGATCGGATTATATTTTAATCGTTTCTATTTTCCAAAAATTTCCCTTTAAAGGATTAAATCATAGTTGATAGTGAGATGTATCCAATTTTCCATCCTTAGTTTTCTGAACATTATGAGTCTTTTTGAAAGATTATGAGGGAAATAAGAAAAAATAAACACACAAACTAAACTTTTAGCGTCGATTTTTATTTATTTTTGTCTCAAATTTTAAGAAAAACCTCTTCTTTAGTTTCAACAGTTTGTAATATTTCAACAAGCGCTGGAGGTAATAAAACATCAGGTTTCCTTCCATATTTCCATTCATATACACTAATATCGCTAACAGGACGATTTAAATCTTTAGTTAAAATTCGAAGTAAAGGGAATAAATCATTTGTTTCTTGACTAAAAATTAATTAAATTTTTAAAAAAATTTAAAGGAAAACCCAATTTGTTGAGAAAAACAGCAAAAATAATCCAAGGCTTTTTTTATTTCTTCAATTTTTAAAATTTCTGCTTTTGGGAGGGATTCAGCAATTAACATTAAATTATAATGTAAATTTTCGAATTGTTGTTTTTGATGATTAATTATATTTTTATTTAAACCCCATTTGGCCAATTCTTGGTGAAAAAGTCGATTACTTTCAATTGCTAATTTAGAATAGTCATTCTGTTTTCGCTGTTTCCTTTTAAGAAATTAATTTAAAAAAACGGAAAAGAAAATCAGAAAGACCCCACATTTGAAAAAATTAAATTTTAATGACATTTCATCCCAAAAAGAAGCCCCTTTTCTAATTTAAATACCTTAATTCCACTTTCTATTTTAGTTATTTGCTTTCTTAGTGATGGAACCTAAATATAAATAATTTTATTTGTCAACTTCAAAAAAACCTCATATTGAACATAACGCTGTAAAAAATTGGCAGATTCTCCCAAATAAACATTTTCATAAAGAGAAATAATTTCCTTAAAAAGAATTTTAATTCCCAACAAAAAAACCTCACAAAGCAAACCTTCCAATCCTTAATTCTTTGTGAAGAATAAAATCCAAAAATATTTTTTGTATCCTTTTCTGTCTCATAAAGAATTTTTAAAATTTCTTTACAATGAAAATAATTTATAACTAAAGAAAATTATTTTAAAAAATAAAATTTCAAAAAAAACCCAACATTGTCCTCCATTTAATATTTTAATTATTTGTTCATTTTCAGGCATATCTTTAATTGCATTACTTATTTTTTGTCTAATTTCATCAAAATTTGATTGCCAATTTTTGGAACAATGACGACGAGAAATTAACCAATCTAATAAAAAATTAAATTTTAAAAACAAAAAATTCAAACCTAAAAGTTTATTGCTGTGGATATCAATTGGCAAATTATCCATTTTTATTTGTTAATTTTTTAATTAAATTTTGTTGAATCTTGAAATGTTCTAAAAAATAATGTAGAAAAGACGCTTCGACAATGGACTTTTCGTCAATAGAACTTTCAGCAATAGAACAATGGCTCGTGAGATCACGCTTATAAGGTCAAAGCTATGGGATAACTCAAACTATAATTGCACAGTTAACGTGTTATAATTCTATGAGATCTTTCATGTTGAGTTTATCAATTTCTGGCAGTGTTGGACCTATGTAAATTCATTCGTAAATCAGAGAAAAGATATAAATTACATAAATACACACGTATGTAGAAGATACATAAATACTGTTTTGTCTGCTAAACTCGAATAAAACAAATTTATCCAGAAACAACAAATTTCAAAAAAAGTGATTTTCCTTGTCATGAATCAATACGTTAAACATTCTAATTTCATATATTCCTCAAAATATTTAAATTCAATCAACATCAGAGTCTTCATAAAATTCTTTAATCACAAAATGTTTAGTAATGTCATAACAAAAAGGCTTAGCTTCCAAATCATTCCCAAAGTTTGCTTCTACAGAACAACATCTAGTCCGAACAGTCGGTTCATAAGAGTCAAAATTTTCTTTCAACAAAATCGCTTTACCTTAAAAATTAAGAGAAATAATAATCTCGTTCGAAATTTTACTAACCAATTTGATTTCCATTTTGAGTAAAGAAAATATATGGCAACTTTTTAGGCATTTTCTCAGTCGGTGGATAGACCAATCCACACCCAAAAATATCTCCATCATTCCAAGAAAACTCTTCAAGTTTAAATACTTCATATTTTTCGTTTTCAATTACTCCATCCTCTGCAACCAAACTAATCAAATCCTCATTATCATTCCTAAGACCAATATTTAACCAGGTGTTATAACCATTTTTCTCTCCTTCTATTTTAACTTTAATTTCAAAATAAAACAAAGAATAATTGGTGCATTCTTCTTTTGGTTTAGTAAAAGTGTTTTCAGTATGAACAGTAACGCACTTATTAAAACCTAAAAATATTTAAATAATGTTAGGGATTCCAAATTTTTGGGAAAAAGGAATCGGAACGGCACGATCCCTGATACATACATAAAATAATAGATTATTTGTGTAGCAACCAGGAATCGACAAAATTAAATCGGAATTTTGTCCAATTTTGATACGTAACATACCCAATCAAATAAAAACAATAACGGTTACCTAAATAAAAGCTAATGCCAATCTTCAAGCACCCAAAAAACAAGGACCTTTATGTAAAGCAACAGGCTAGTTAGGTGTAGAAACGAGCTGTCTCGATACAAAAAAATCTCTAAAAATCGGGAATCGAAAAAGGTTCAAAATATCGAAACAGCTGTGTTCATTTTTGATAGATAAAAAATAAATAATTTATTTACCTTTATCATCACAATTGATATATTTAATATTCTCATCATCAATTAATTTAACAAATCCATTTCCCTTAACACATTTTGTATTTGTCATTTCATCCAAACATTCATTAGCACAACAACTAGTATTAAGAACTTTATACCATTTATTTTTAATTTGCACAAAACACTAAAATATTTATACCTATATTTAGATTTAAATAAACTAACCGCTCGTTTACAATTTTTACTTAATCGTTCCAATTTATTTTTCAATTCTCCCATATTTTTCTCATACGAAGCACTCATCTTTAAAGTTATAATTTTAAACTTTTTAAAACCAAAAATGGTTAATTATTTAAGTAACTAGCGGAGAGGCTCACCCTTATTGTTAGGGCGAGAAGCCCTTTTGAATGAGCTATCATTTGTATATTCAAATTTTTAGCCCAAAAATAGTTTTTGACCATTTCGACCCTATATCTCGGCCGTTTTTTGCGGACTAATTTTGGTGTCATTCGACTCAAATCGACGAGTACTTCCGAATGACGCATAAACTGTTTATTTAAAAAAACGTTGGATTTGTTAAAAAGCCTACTAAAATAAAATTAAAAATTTTAATAAAAGGTCTACAAAAATTTAAAAATTAATAAAATCCACTTTTTACCTCATTCATTTGTTCTTCAAGTTTAACATTCTTTTCCTTCTCTTCATTAAATTCAATTAAAAGATTGTTAAGCTTTGTTTGAATAACCAAATCGTTATTATCCATTAAATCAAAATCAGAATTTGTTGAACTTTCAGACATTTTGTAAAAAAATAAAATCTAAAATTTAATAAAAATTAAATTTTGTATATTGAGTGTTAGGTTGGGGTTTGCTGAAAAAGCCTGAAATCTATCTAAGAATTCCTTACAGCTACTCTCATATAATTTTGAAGTCAATGGCAAATTAAAAATGAATGTAATACAATAAGATTGGTAAAATCGGTTTAAATCTGATCTCTTTTTTGTTTTCAGACTTGAAATCTCCGTTTTTGGTTAGGTTAATAATGCTTAATTGACCATTGTAATTATTAATTTTAAACTAAAAAATTGTTTTGAAAACTAAACAAATTTTGGCAAAAATCCTGATCGAAAATAAATTAGACTAATTCTGAAAAAAATTTGAATATAAACGGAACGGTTACAGCCCAAAACAACGCGGACCAAAACTACGCGACCGAAACTACGCATGCCGAAACTACGCAAGGCCAAAACCTATAAAATATCAAAAATGACGATGTGCGCACTTATCTAGATGTAACTTTTTGTTGGAGGATCTGATCAAAACTAACTACTTGGCGAAAATAATTCTCACATCCAGGGCTCTCAAATTTAAAAGATTTATTTAATTGGCCGAAAACCCAAAATGTTATGTTACAAAATATGACTCTGGGACTCAACCGGCGGGACTCAATGATCCCCATTGAAAAAAATTTCGTTTCGTCAACAAATCTTTTGTCACCGAACTTTACGTCACAATTTTATTATTTCGAAGCTTGATTTTTCTTTAATATTTTAAGGAAGCTGACTTCATCGACAAATCAGTCATCATCATGAATATTTTTACTTAATATTAATTAACTCTATACTTTTTTTTATTTTACATGGATTGGACTGAAGAAGCTTTTACATCAGAGGTTAAATTAGTTTTTTTGTTTATTTAAATTTTATTTTAGGCATTTTCTGTTGCAGATCTTGTTCAACAAACAGCTTCTCAATTTGTTTTTGAAAATGTTTTGCCCGGTTTTGTATATTATAATGATTATAATGCTTATTACAATCACGAGACCGGGTATTTTTATTATCCGGTTTGTTTGTATTTTTTAAAAAAATTGAGTTTTTGGACTAGTTGATAATGGGTATAGAATAGCAAAATTTATTTTGGGGGGAGATTATTTTGGAAAAAATTTTTTTTTAATTCTGTCAAAAGTATTGCCCAATAATTTTTCTAATATTTTCTAGGAATCTTCTTTATATTTTCATCCTTCTACACAATTATATTATTATTACAATGAACAAACTAAAGCTTATGAAGTTTACGAAAACAAAGATGAAAATAAATGGACTAAAAATAAATATAAAAAAAGAGCAGCGAATTTATTCGGAGAAAATTTTGTTTTGGTTTGTTTTTAAATTTTTTAAGGAAAAAATTTCTTTCTAAAGGATGCAAAATTGGAAGATATTTTAGTGACAGAATTAATTTTTGATTTGGTTGATAAATGTTCTTTTCTTGCTGGGGATTATCCAATTAAAGAAACTAAGAAAAGGAAAATGTTTGATGAAGAAATTTTTGATGAATATAAAGTAAATAAATTTTGAAGAAAAATAAATTTATTTTTTAACTTTTAAGGTTTGTACAAAGCAGACTTATTTTGATCCAACACTGTCTAGCGATGATGAATTAGATGAAAATACGAGTATTTCTTTTGATAATGAATTGAATAGGAGAATAGATGAAGGTTAGCTTTGATATTTTTTGTAACTTAGTTCTCCTCGGCCAGATATTCTGATGGACATAACTGATAATAAAAATTTCTTTGTCAGGAAAAAGACCATTTTTGTCTTTATTTCCATTAGTAATACTAATTTTTCTTTTATCGCTTTCTGAACATTCTTTACTCATTTAGGTTTAAGTATACGCTCTAAACAGATCTCCATCGCTTTACATCCTCCTTCCAAAGAAATTTTTAATTTATCCATTTTTTCTAACTTAAAAGAAAATTAATTTTAAGAACAAATAGCTTGTAATGCTCCATGTATTCGTTTATTAGAATTTCCTTCAAATAATTTACATATTATAACAATTTTGGGTGCTTCTATTGGCTTTGGACTAAATGCTGATATTAAATTATTAAATTCTCAACAATTTTTTAATAAAGAAATTTTATTTTATATAAATTATTTTGAAGAAGGAAATAATGGAATTTATAAATTAAAATTGGAAATTGACGATATTATTCTAAAATTAAATGAAAAACAAATTAAGGTTGGAGGGTTGTTTAATTTGTTAATATTTTTTTATTTTTTAAAGTTAAATAAAGAATATATTATTTGTCACGGTGATCAAATTCAAATAGATAATTCTCATTCTTTACATATACACATTCATCGTGGACTAAATACCTGTCAGGGTTGTGAGCCTGGGATTTTAGTTTCTTCAAATAAAAGGTTTTTAATAGAAAATGTTATTTTTAAATTTACACGATGAGTTGGAGTATTTGTAATTATGGTCACAAATCCTATATAAGAATTCTTGGGTAGCTCAACTTCCTAGAGACCAGACCCATAGCCAGGGTGGGGGGTAGGGGGAATTCCTCTCCCCCGAAATGGGGAAAAGGGAAAAATTTAGGGAAGGGATTAGGCAAAAAAGTGAATTTTTTTGGCCTACGGCCTTCTAAAATTCTCAAAATTTTCGCATACGGCGCTAAAAATCAAAATTAAAAAATCAAAAAATTTTCTCCCCTTGGCCTCCCCCGAAAAAATCCTGGTTTCGGGCCTGCTAGAGACTAAAGTTCCATGATTAAATTTATGGCCACTTTGAAAAGTTTCTAACACTCTTTAATATTTACAAATCATTTGGTCTACAGAGTCCCCTAAATCTCGGTCCACGATCCAGTAAAATGGTTGTTGTGTTATTTAAGAATTGCCAAAATTATTTTCTATTTTAGTTCGGAACAAGTAAATACCAAAAAATATTCAAAAAATGTAGAACGTCATCGTCAAACAAAATTACTTAAACAACAATATGGACTATTAAACAACGAGGAAGATTTACAAAATAATAAAGAAAAATATTTGGATAGAGCTAAACAAAGAAGAAAATTAAATTTATTAGAAAATGATAAGAAAGAAATAAACAAAGCTGGGGGAATATATGTTGGTTGTAAAGCTGCACCTGTTCCTGGTTTGGGTTATTAGATTAAAAATAAATTTTAAAAGTAAAGATATTTTAATTAATTTAAAACCTTTCTTCCAACTAGGATGTAGAAATGTTACTCACTTTTTGATTAAACAAACAAAAAACATGAAAATTTATAGTCGAACCTCCTATGAAAATTTATGAAAATTTATAGTCGAACCTCCTATTTTTTAAGCTATATTTAATTAGAAAATACCCTTTATGTTGGGCAGCTCCCCACTCATCATAGTCAACTTAAATTGAGATGTATCTAGAATTTATAGTGAGATTCGACTGTTGTGAATTTTGACTAAAAATACGTCTAAAAATTATTTTTATATCCCTTTTTAAATTACTAGGATGTTCAACAGATTCAGTTCATTTACATTCCACAGTCTCAAAAAATGAAGAAATTTCTGAAAATAATAAAGGATTTAAATTGTTGTTAGAAATAATGTTAAATTACAATCAAAATATGTGTGATTTATTTTATATGATTAATTCTTTATTTTTAAATCCAAAAATGTCCTTTTCAAATATATTTTCTTATTCATGCAATTTCTTAAACTTTATTTTTATTTAACATTCTTAATCATTTTTGTCATTTCCCTGTTTATTTAAACTCAGCTATTTCTGTTATTTTAGCTTCAGCTTCAATTCACTTTTAAATTCCCCAATAATCCCCTTAAGCCTAATTGTAAAATTATTATTAAATTGAATAAATATTAATAAAGAAATATTCCTTTTTTGGATAAATTTAGAAGGGCTAGAAATAATTAAAAGAGATTGTTTCTAACATTTGGTGCCACTCGGTCTAATTGTTCAAACTGAGCTCATCAGAACGTTCAGTTTTTGAACGTGTTGGAATCGCTCAACGTGTCTCTTCGCGCCCAAATCAACTACCAAAGACATCAATTCAAAGGAAAGTTTTATTAAATAGAAATCGGGTAGCTCAAAATTTATTAAATAGAAGTTTAAAGGTTGTTCGGCAAAAACCAAGCGAATTACAGCCAGCTCAAATACAACAAGCTGCTAGTTCACAACCTTTAATTATTCAAATACAGCCTCAACCTGCTCCAAACGCTCAACAGCAAGGAGGCAGTGTGCAATTAAATAATAGACAAAATTTTCAACAGCCCCGACGTTATTGGAGGCGTTGGCAACAAAATCCGAGGCAACAAAACTACCGACAACCAAGAAATCAAAGAAACTTTCGTGGGCAACACAGGAATTTTAGACAACACCGCAGAAACTACCGATTTGTGAGAGGCCAACAATTCTTCCGTGGTCAACAACAAGCTTTTAGAGGTCAAATTTACCGAGGTCCAAGGACATTTTACAGTAGGCAAATTTTTCAAAGGGGATATGTCAGGAGTAATACAAGAGGCAATCAATGGGCTGAAAGAGCGCCTCATCAGATACAATACAGCGGCTACAGACGCCGATTTTAGAATTGCTGCTGATTTAGGTATGGAAGAAAAAATTTTAACGGCCAAAAGAATGATAAAATATATAACTTTAACTAAAAAGAAAATTAGTAATTTATTAAATGATTTAGACGGCCAGACAGTCAATTATGTAAATCTTTTCCCTACTTTAGACAGAGAAGAAAAAATAGAGGAAAAGAATGAATATAAAAATTTCGCAAATGGGCCCGAGGGTTATCTAACTATTATGGAAGAAGCTCGGGAAATTATTGAAGCCCTAAATGAAAATGAGTATATTTTAGAAGAAATTTTAAATAATAATACAGGGCAGGCACAAAGTCAGGCAAATGAAATGAATGTCAAATTGCCAGAAATAAAACTGCCAGAATTTTCGGGGGATACTAAAAATTGGCAAAGTTTCTTCGAAGAATTTAAAGCGGCAGTAGATGAGCAGCCAATTCCTGATAAAAGGAAAATGCAGTATTTAAAAAGTGCCTTGAGAAATGAAGCCCTAGAAATTGTCGAGCCATATCCGTTGGAAGCGGGTAATTACAAGCTCGTTTTAGATCTCCTAAAAAATAGATTTGGGGATAAAATAACGATCAGAAGCAGCCTGCATTCTGAATTAAGAAAATTGCCCAGGGCGAACCAATTTGTGCCCGAAATTAGAAAAACTTTAAGAAAAATTGAGGCAATTATAAATCAGTTAAAATTAATGGGCGAAAATACAGAGCATCAACAGCTCATTTTAGAAGTGGAATCAAAAATGCCCAAAAAGATACTGACCGAAATTTTTAAGAGAAAAAGAATAGACCCACTATGGTCTTTAGAAAAATTATTAAAATTTTTAGATGAATATTTAAAATTAGAAGAAGACGTGCACATGCTCCATAAAGATTTCGGTTCAGAATTAAATGAAAGGCCCTATCAGAAAAAAGAAAATAGAGAGCCTGAAAAATATAAAAATAGAGAGCCAGAAAAATATAATAGAGAGAATTATAAAAAATTTAAGGGAACAGCTATGTACGCGTTCCAAAGAGAGCAAAAGCACGCATGTAAATTCTGTTCTCTCTCTCATTGGGAAGATAAATGTGAGAAATATAAAACTAAAGAGGAGAGAATTAAAAGAATAAAAGAGCTAAAAATTTGTTTTAAATGTTTAAGAAATAATCATCGCTCTATAGACTGTAAGGCCAATACATTTTGTTTTAATTGCAAGAAAAATGGCCACATTTCTGTTTTTTGTCATAATTTATATACAAAAGGGCAACAAAAACAATACCCCATGAAAAATTTTGAAAAACATGGGAATGAATTTAATAAGAGAAAACAAATGTGTCTGGCCGTCAGGGAAAATTTTGAAAATTCTGAAAATGAAAATGATATATTAATTCAAAATTTTGCAAATAAAAAAGAAATTAAAGAAAACAATAATGAAAAGACACTTTTACAGGTAGCGGAAGTAAAAATAAAAAATCCCACAAAGAAGAAGTTTTTAAATGTGGAAGCATTTTTCGATTCTGGATGCGAGATCACCCTCTTACATAATTCAACTGCGGTAAAACTTGGATTGAAACCCATTGGTCATAAAGAATTTAGAGGAATTGGACTTTTTAATAAAACAATAACTGTTAATGCGCCTATTTACATTATTGATTTAATTTGTTTAAATAATGAGAAAATAAATATGATTGTTAGAGGCACTAATGACATGGTCGAATTTTTAGAAAAAATTAAAATAAATAATAGAATTGACCAAATGTCAAAAATAAACATTGGGCAATTCGAAACGGTAAAACCCGAAATATTAATAGGTGCCGATTATTACGGATTAATTTTTGGAAATAAACAATTAAAATCTGGATTTTTAACTGTTGATACAAAAATTGGAAATATAATTTATGGAAAGGGAAAAATTTCAAAAGGCCCTGAAAATACAAAAATTTGTCAAATGGTAAATACAGACCTGTGGTGGGAATTAGAAGGTCTAGGCATTGATATAACAAAGGAAACTGAAGACGATAAATTTGCCATTGAACATTTTAAATCAAATATAAAAAGAGAAAACAATGGTAGATATATTGTTTCCTGGCCCATTAAAGAAAATCAAACTTTAGCGGACAATTTTTGGATTTCAATGAAGCGATTACAAGGGGTTTGGAATAAATTAAATAAAAATCCCGAAATTTTAGAAAAATATAACCAATTATTTGTTGAACAAGCTAAAAATTGTATTATCGAAAAATGTGAGAAAGAAAGTGAAATAGCCCATTATATTCCCCACCATTGCGTCATAAACGAAGAAAAGAAGAAAGTAAGAATTGTTTTTGACGCTTCTTGTAGGACAAAGGATGGATTGAGTTTAAATAAAATAATTTTGAGGGGTCCAGTCTTATTGCCTGATATTTGTGGAATGCTTTTAAGACTTAGAACCTTTAAAAATTTGATTGCGGCTGACGTAAAGGGGGCGTTCCATCAAATAGCAATCAATGAAGCACAACGTGATTTAACACGATTTTTATGGATTAATGATATAGAGTCACCCCCAACATATGAAAATATTGTTAAATGGAGATTTGCCAGAATGCCCTTCGGGGTAATCGCCGCTCCATATTTGTTAGCAGCGGTAATTAATTACCACATTGAAAATTTAAATTCGCCACTGAGCAGTGAATTAAAAAGAGGTATTTATGCGGATAATGTATTTCTTTGTGCCGAAAATGAAATAGAGGCAAAACAAAAATGTCAAAAGGTATCCAAAATTTTTGAAGAGGCCAAAATGAATTTACACGAAATTTGTAGCAATTTGAATGAAATAAATAAAACATTTGGAGATAAAGAGCAAAAGAACCCTATAAAACTTTTGGGTCTCAATTGGAATTTAGAAAAAGACACTATTTTAATTGAGTTGAAGGAAATTAAAGAAACTAAATGGACGAAAAGAAGTGTTTTAAAATCTTTAGCGAGCTCTTTTGACCCACTTGGATTTTTAGTACCAGCTAATTTGCCTCGAAAATTATTTTTCCAAAGCTTGTGGAAAACAGATAAAACTTGGGATGAAGAAATTGAAAAGACGGAATGTGAGGAATGGAATAAAATTAAAGTAGATTATGGCAATTTCCAAATAAGGCGAATTTCAGTCAATAAACAAAATCCAACTGAGTTACATGTTTTTGTCGATGCTTCCGGTAAAGCATACGCAGCAGTCGCTTATTTAAGACAATTTGATAAAAATGGGGTACAAACATCTATAATCATGTCTAAAGGAAAATTAGCCCCGATAAAAAATAAATTAACAATTCCCCGATTAGAACTAATGGCAAGCGTTGCTGGAAAAAGAATGTCAGATTTTATAATAAAAGAAATTGATATTAAATTTACAAAAATATATATTTGGACGGATTCTAAATGTGTACTTTCATGGATTTTATTGTCAAACATTGATAAATTACCAAAATTTGTAAAAAATAGAATTAAAATTTTGAGAGAAAATAAAGAAATTGAATGGAAATACGTTCCCACAGAGAAAAATCCGTCAGATATTGCGTCACGTGGTTGCACTACGAATGAACTGAAAAATTATAAAGAATGGTGGAAGGGTCCGCAGTTTTTGAATGAGAGTGAAGAAAAGTGGCCCCAATCACCAGAGTTAAAAAGGAATGAAAAAGAGTGGAGTAAAGATTTGGAAGAAATAAAAATTGAAATGTTGACAAAGGATTTAATCAATACGGAATTGCGTAATGAATGGCCTAAACTTGTTAATATTTCTACCGCGTTTTGTCAAGCAATAAAAAATTTTGGAAGAAAAATTAAATTTAAAACGGAATTTGGGTCAAATTTACAAAAAATTAAAAATAAAGTCGATTTAAGAAAAATGGGTGAAATATTGTTAATAATAGAAGCACAAAATAAATACCCGCCAAATGAAAAGGAAATACAAGAATTAAAAATGAAAAAAGAAAAATATAATATGTGGACTTGCCCAGGGCGTTTAGGAAATATAAACACACCAACGCCTATTTTTATTTCAAAAGAAGCCCCACTGGCAGAAAAAATTGCGTTAGAAGCGCATTTGCGCACATTACATAGTGGAATTAATCAAAGTTTAATTGAATTGAGACAAATGTTTTGGGTACCAAGCGGACGGCAATTAATAAAGAAAATAATAAATCGATGCTTACATTGCAAAAAGGCAAAATTATTGCCCTACTCGATTCCAAAAATGCCAGATCTCCCTAAAGAAAGAATTTTACGCTCAAAGCCGTTTCAAAACACAGGCTTGGATTATGCCGGCCCTTTTGAAGTAAAAAATAGTAGCGGTGAAATTGTAAAAGTCTGGATTGAAATATTTTCTTGTATGGCCACACGATTCACGCATTTGGAATTAATACCCAGTTTATCCGCAAAATCTTGTATTCAAGCCATGCGCAGGTTTATATCGGAATACGGTAAACCAAAATATTTTATTAGCGATAACGGCACGCAATATAAATTAACATGTAAAGTAATACAAGAAATTGAGCAAAAAACAGAAAAAGAAAAAATACACTGGCAGTTCATTCCTAGTCTTAGTCCATGGTTTGGAGGATTATATGAGGCAATGGTAAAAATCATGAAAAATTCCCTAAAGGCTGCTATAGGCAGAAAAATGTTAAATTATGAAGAGTTAAGAACAATACTTTCAGAAATAAAAACAATTATGAATAAAAGGCCACTAACTTATGTATATGAAAATTTCGACGACGCCTATACTGTGTTGCGTCCAATTGATCTTATTTTACCATCACGTAATGAAGAAAATATAGAGTTAGAAATTTCAGATGAAAAAGAATTTTTAGAAAAAGAAACCCAAAGAGAGATATTAATTAAAGAATGGGAAAATTCAAATCAGATGTTAAATCATTTTTGGCAAAAATGGGAAAAAGAGTATTTAAATAAATTAAAAGAAAGGGCAGATAAACATAATCAAAAATTGTATAAGAAAAATTACATCCCCGAAATTGGTGAAATTGTATTGATACAAAATAAACAGGTGCCCAAACAAGCTTGGAATTTAGGTAAAATTGTTGAATTAATTAAAAGTAAAGACGGGTTAATAAGAATTGCCAAAGTTCGGGTTAAAGGAAAAATTGTTACCCGCGCAATAGCCTTATTATATCCAATGGAATTAAAAGCAGAAATGCCCGAAAAAATAATTGAGAGGGAAAAGGACAAGATTGAAAATAGTGAATTAAAAAATCAGAACCAGAAAACACACAAAATGGAATTGAGAGCTAAAAAGAAAATAAACTATAAAGAAATAGAAAGTGAATCAGAAGAAGAAAAGCAAAATATTGAGCAGGTAAGAATCGCAATGTTCAGACAAGAAATGAAATGTTCAATATGTGGCAGATCCGGACACCCTTCCCAAAAATGTTGGTATAGAAGAAACGAATTTGTGAACCAAAATAACCAAAATTTAAATGAAAAAGAAAAACCCTCTTCATCAAAAGTAGAGACGGATTGGCAAGAGTCATATAAAGAAATAGAAGGGAAATATTTAACGCTAGAGGAAAAATTAAATAGCGTTGAAAACGATTTGTCAAAGGAAAAAATTGAAAAAGAAGCTATAGGTAAAGAATTGAAAAAACAAGAAAGAGAAATAATAGAGATTAAAAATTGTTTAAAAGAATTGTCAGAGAAAGAAAAAGCTAAAGAGGAGTTAAATAATGAGATAGAAAGGCATAAAAATGATTTAATAAGAATTAGAACCGAATTTTGTACCTCTAAAAATGAAAAGGAGTATAAAGGGTCTAATCAAAAATCAAAACAAACTAGCGCGTTAAAAGTTTTAGCAAAAAGTTCGGTAACTCTTCTCACAATATTAATAATTTTTTTATTTACTTTCGGTCAAGTAGCTCAAGTTCAAAGTATTCGCTGCGCACAGAATGAAAATTTAGTTCTGAAACATTTAGAAGAGTGTAAATCGAACGGTTTGGTAATTTTTGAAAGAAAAGACAAGTCACTTTGTTGGAAAGAAATAGGCTGCAACGATAAAAATAAACACATACGTTG